AAGCAGGCAGAGTGGGAGAGGGAGAAGCAGGCTCCCCGCTGAGCAGGGAGCCCGATGTGGGGCTCAATCCCAGGACCCTGGGACCATGACCTGAGCCGAAGGCAGACGCTTAATGACTGAGCCACCCAGGCGCCCCTCCCTCCTATGTTTTAAAAGCACAAACACATGGAACCTTTCTTTTTATTTTTTTTAAAAGATTTTTTATTTATTCATTTGAGAGAGAGAGACAGAGAAAGCACAAGCAGGGGGAGAGGAAGAGGGAGAGGGAGAACCAGACACCCTGCTGAGCTGGGAGCCCAACGTGGGGCTCGATCCCAGGACCTGGAGATCATGACCCCAGCCGAAGGCAGACGCTTAACCATCTGAGCCACCAAAGTGCCCCTTTCTTTCTTTTTAAAAAGATTTTATTTATTTGAGAGAGAAAGCGAAGTGAGAGAGAGAACACGAGTGGGTGGGGGGGAGAGGCAGAGGGGGAGGGAGAAGCAGACTCCCCACTGAGCAGGGAGCCCGATGTGAGGCTTGATCCCAGGACCCCAGGATCATGACCTGAGCCAAAGGCAGACGTTTAACTGAATGAGCCACCCAGGTGCCCCTGGAACCTTCTTTCTTAATGAAATATTACAAAGAATCCCAGTATATGTAGGCAGATAAAAGTGGGACTGCACCAGTTGAAACAGAGAAGGCTTAACACTTTACTTGGTCTCCCCACCCCACCAAAATACCCCCATCCCTGCAAGTCTGAAAACATTTTTTAGCTTACTACATTTTCCCCATACCTTTTCCTCTGCGGTGGCACAAACCATTTTCATCACACATTTTGTTTTCCTTTTGGTAACGGCGTGATACATTGGGGTAAAGGTGGTTGAATAGGTCTTCACATTTTCTTTTCCATATTTATAAATGGCCTCATCTATAATGCACAGGGAAAAAAAGCATCTGTCAAAAACCTAAATAATTCCACTGAGCTATCAAAGAGAGAGATGGCCAGAAATATATAACCTGAGTCAAATCATGAGAAAATATCAACACTTCAATGAGGGACATTCTGTAATATAAATGCTAACGTCATGAAAGACAAAGGAAAGGCTAAGGAATTTTGTCTCTCAATTAAAGGAGACCAAAGGGGTATGAAAACTAAATACAATGCATCATCCTGCACTGAATCCTGACCTTGGGGGAAAAAGTGTTAAAAATGACATTATTTGAGGGGCACCTGCCTGGCTCAGTCAGTGGAGCATGTGACTCTTGATCTGGCGGTTGGTTGAGCCTCACATTGGGGTATAGAGATTACTTAAAAAAAAAAAATCTAAAGAAGAAAAAAATGACATTATTTGAGAGAATTAGCAAAATGTGAATAGTTTGGATAATATTGTATGAATTTATTTTTTTAATACCTTTTTTGTAAACTGAAGTATAGTTGACATTATGTTAGTTTCAGGCGTGCAACATACCGATTCGACAATTATAAACATTGCAAAATGCTCACCATGATTAAGTGTAGTCACCATCGGTCAGTATACAAAGTTATTATAATATTAATAACTATATTCGCTATGCTCTGCTTTTCATTCCCATGACTTATTTATTTTATAACTTGAGGTCTGTACCTCTTTATCCCCTTTACCTATTTTTGCCTATCCCTGCACCCAATATTTTATCAATTTAAATGTTGTCTTTTGAAAACCGTAGCTTATGTAAAGGAATGGACTCGTTCCTAGGAAATAGATACTGAAGTGTGTGTGTTTATGCGTGTGTGTAGAGAAAATTATGGTAAAGCAAAAATGTTATGGGTATACATAGTCCTTTGTACTACAGTAGTCTCCTATTATCCACAGGGAAAACATTCTAAGATCCCCAGTGGATGCCTGAAACTGTGGATAATACCAAAGCTTATGTATACTATTTTTTCCTATACATACATACCTATGATAAAGCTTAATTTATAAGCTGGGCACAGTAGATGAACAATAACTGATAATTACAAACAGAACAATTACAATACACTATAATAAAAGTTCCATGAAAGTGGTCTCTCTCAAAATGCCTTATCGTACTGCACTCACCCTTCTTCTTATGATGATGTGAGGTGATAAAATGCCTGTGTGAGGAGGTGAAGTGAGTGATGTAGGTGCTGTGACCTAGTGTTAGGCTACTCCCGACCTCCTCACAGTAAGTCAGGAGGATCATGTCCTTCCAGACCACAGTTGGCCGCGGGTAACAAACCACAGAAAGCGAAACCGCAGATAAGGGGAATTACTATATTTTTGCAACTTTTCTTTAAATTTGAAATTAGTTTAAATAAAAAAAGCTAAAAAAAGGCAAAGAGACACACAGGGTGGTGTGGGGAAAAGGAATTCTACTCTCCAAGTGTTGGCAGTTAGGGAGGAAAGGAATTGTGGTAAGAGGCCAACCAGAAAGGAGTGGAATTTAGGGAGTGAAGGGAGATTTAGTCAGCACCTTCCCCCTGCAGTCAGGGGGAAGACGGAAACTATAAATCACCTTTGTTTTTAAACACCTACCTTCCGTGAGTCCCACTGTCCCAATCGGGGGGTGGCTGAAGACGACCGTGGGGATGTTGTCATAGTCTAATTTGGAATCTTCTTTGCATTCAAAAAGTCTATGGGCAAGTTTTCGGCCAGCAGCTATGGCAACTACAAAGATATTTGTAAATCAGCGTCTCAGTTTATTGCTCACTTTAAAACCGCAGAATTGTTCTAACCATTTCCTCGTCTGGCTTAATGTACTACTTCTGACAAAGTTTTACGCCAATGCTCATTATAATATCTAGGTCACTATAATGAAGACATACCAATGCCTTGTTAACAATTCAAAACTATCATCTTATATAAATTCTGTACATTCTATTAGGACAAAGAAAGGGTGAGGGGGCTTATTTACTAGTTCCCAATCATCTGGCAGTTACCTACTTAATTAGGATATTAGCTTTTTGATACATTATTAATGAAGCAAACTATATTAGTTTTGACCAACTATAGCTCCACTTTATAACATTATGCATTTCACAGTATGGGTTTTTTTTTTTTTTTCCTTTAATTCCCTAGAAGGCCCCCCAGCCTCAGCCTCTCTATCAGGTCCATTGTGGCTCCTCCTCCCTGGCTGGTCCTGAAGGATTAGGGCTCTCATTGGCAAGGATAAAGACCACGATCCTGGGTGGTGAATGACCCCACACTCTCCCTTACTGTCCAAGAGGATTTCTGGGCCCATTTGGTTCTGGTGACCATGGTCTCAGACAATCACCAGTTACACACTTAGTCATATTGCTACTGACTTGACAGAGTAAGTTTTTTTTTTTAAGTCAGGGCCCAACGCAGGGCTTGAACTCACAACCCTGAGATCATGACCTGAGCTGAGATCAAGAGTCAGATGCTTAACCAACTGAGCCACCCAGGTGCCCCCATAAGATATTTTTTAAGTTTATTTATTTATTTATTTTTAAAAGATTTTTATTTATTTATTTGGGAGAGAGATAAACAGCATGAGAGGGGAGAGGATCAGAGGGAGAAGCAGGCTCCCCGCTGAGCCAGGAGCCCGATGTGGGACTCGATCCCAGGACTCCAGGATCATGACTTGAGCCAAAGGCAGTCGCTTAACCAATTGAGCCACCCAGGCACCCATTTCTTATTTTTTTTTTTAAAGTTTATTCTCCTTAGCCTGTTTTTATCTCGTATTTAGAAAAAATGCCTATTATTCAGTAAAAGCATCAGTTAATAATTTTGTTGATTTCAAATTGACAGTTTTTTCCTCAAAATAAGGTATCAGTAGGATACATAAGAAATTTTCTTTGATATAATTTTCAACAATTAGATTAGTTATCAAGTTTTTGAAACTTTGCTTGTTATTTTGCTTTTGTTAAAAGAACTTCCAGAAGGAGCTAAAAGGCTTTGGGTGTGTGACTGCAGTAACTTTCCATTCTGAGGTAAGATCCAGCGCCATTCTAGAAAGGCTGGTGAGGTACCACAGGGGCACAGAGTGAAAGCAGATGGAGTGATGTCGCTAATAAAAGTGGGAAAAAGGGGCACCTGGGTGGCTCAGTTGTTAAGCATCTGCCTTTGGCTCAGGTCATGATCTCAGGGTCCTGGGATCAGGCCCCGCATCGGGCTCCCTGCTCGGCGGGAAGCCTGCTTCTCCCTCGCCCACTCCCCCTGCTTGTATTCCCTCTCTCGCTGTGTCTCTGTCTGTCAAATAAATAAATAAAATCTTAAAAAAAAAAAGTAGTAATACTTAAAAAAAAAAAAGTGGGGAAAAAAGCTTGAAATGGTGCCAGTTAACTCAGAAAGTAGGTTGACGTATGGGATTATGGGAGTTGGGTCAATCTTGGTCATTATAATAAATAATCAGGGCGCCTGGCTGGCTCAGTGGGTAGAGCACGCAACTCTCAGTCTCAGGATCGTGAGTTCAAACCTCACGTTGGGCATGGAGCCTACTTAAAAAATAACTTAAAAAATACGTATACACAAATTAAAAAAAACCTTTAAAAAAAAAGACTAAATAATCATGTAAGAATGCTACTCTAAATTGCTTCTTCCCAAAGCCACTTCCTTCCACTGTCACCACATGCAACTCAGATTCTAACTTACAGCTTCTTCAGAAGGTGACCATATCATCTCTGTAACAATTTTAGTCTTCACTAAAGCCCTTTTAAAGTCTTCTAAGGAAAAATGAATATTATTCAGAAAACATCAGGTACCAAACTACTTCAATATACTATTATTTCGACAGCATTAAGACACTCATCCTTTTAACTTTGCTTAAGCTGATTGGACTGTGAAGAGCTGAACGGTTTTATATAACCCACAGAGCTTCCCTTACCCAAGAAATGAGGAAAACAGTACCTGGAGTAAGAAGAGCTTTTCCACACACGTCCCCAACTGCATAGATGCCTTTTATGCTGGTATTCTGGAATTCATCTACTATGATATGACCTTTGTCATCAGTTTGAATCCCCTAAAAAAGTGAAAGGCTATCATGTCACTATTTGGTCAATCTACCAAAAAAGGCAAACCAAATCTCTGGATCTTCATTTCAAGCACCTCTTCAGCCCGAATCTTTAAAAACCACAACACTCAACCACAAGATGAAAAACGTCTTTTTTTTTTTTTAAGATTTTTATTTATTTGAGAGAGAGAGAGCATGAGTAGAGCGGGAAGGCAGAGGAGAGAGATAAGCAGACTTCCTGCTGAGCAGGGAGCGACTCGGGGCTCGATCCCAGGTCCATGGGATCATGACCTGAGCCGAAGGCAGACACTTAATGACTGAGCCACCCAGGTGCCCCAATATTTTATTTTTAAAATGCTGAAAAATACCTTTTATGAGCTGAAAAAATAATCCACATGGTAAAGGATATTACTATTAGAACATAAATCAAAATGTTACCTGATGCGCAAGAGGTTCCATCAAATATATAAACCACAAACATAAAATAATCCTATTATTACTTGTAGAGTAGTAAAGCGTATCAGGAAAATCATCAAAATCATCAACAACAGCAGCTGGTTAACATGGACTCAGTTCATACTACAAGCCAGCATCTAAACTAATTACTTTGTGGGGCACCGGGGTGGCACCCACAAAGCGTGCTGCTCCCTCTCCCCCACCACTTGTGCTCTCTCATTTTCTCTCTCTCAAATAAATAAATAAATCAAATCTTTAAATAAATAAACTAATTACTTTGCATGCACTTTCTCATCATCTACTCTTCTCTACAACCCAGTGAAGTAAGGACTATTTTTATTCCTACACTAATATGAAGCAATTGAAACTTAAAGAGTAATTAAGCTGCTTGCTTAAGGCCATGCAACTGGTAAGTAACAGAACTAAGACTCAAAATTGGGTCAAACTCTGGGACCTAGACCCCAAGTTAGGTAGACAGTAGACTTGCCTTCAAAATCTAAAAGAACACCTCAGAATGTTAATTATAACACTGGTAGATGAGCTTCACATCTACTTCCAACCCCAAGTGCCCAAAATGTTCAGGATGATTGACACACCCAGCAATGGAGATTAGTTTGCAGATGATAAGAAATAATTACAGGGGGCGCCTGGGTGGCTCAGTTGGTTAAGCGACTGCCTTCGGCTCAGGTCATGATCCTGGAGTCCCGGGATCGAGTCCCACATCGGGCTCCCTGCTCAGCAGGGAGTCTGCTTCTCCCTCTGACCCTCCTTCCTCTCATGCTCTCTCTATCTCATTCTCTCTCTCAAATAAATAAAAAATTTAAAAAAAAAAAAAAAAAAAAGAAAGAATTACAGGACTTTAAGGAGCCAAGTATCACTGTAAAAAGGAAATCTGTAAGAAAGAGGCTACTCAGGGCAGAGACCTGATCTAGGGTGATCACATTAAAAAGGTAAAATAATTTTTTTTTTCAATTTCAAAGAAGCAATGGGATTTGATGACAAACTGGATGCATGGATAAAAAGAGAAAAAAAATCTAACAGAACCCACCAAAGTTTAGGGGGGGCAGGGGGTGGGGAACATGGGACTGCTAACAGATTCAAGAATGCTTTGGTTAGACTAAGTCAGCTTACCACTTTGTTTAAATTCAGGCCACTGGAGTTTGGGTCCCGCCCAATGGCCCATAGGAGGCAGTCAACATCTGGAATTGTGGTCAAGGTGGGTTTCCTACCAGGAACTGAAGTAATCATGCACACTTCCAAGCCTGAGGAAGTCTTTTTAACTTCCTTGACCTATTGGCAATGGAAAACAAAGAGGAAATTAGAATTCTTAACATTTAAAAAATCTCCACCAAATCCTACGTGTGGATCCTTCATGCTGACACATTCACTTTTGCCCAAATGACGCCAACACCACAACTCCTAGGAGCCAAGACTGTTTCCTAGGTTGGCTGGAATTATCCAGCCAACGGCCAGAAATGTCTGCTTGTGTCAGCACCCTAATGCTTCAGCTTAAAAACAAGGTTTTTAAACTGTGCTTCTTAAAAATCGTGATAAAATTTTAAGTCACAAATCTAAGCACAGTGATTGGTGACTGAAGGGTGGGGAGGATACGGGTTGCAGCAGCATCACTAAGAACCTTGCTCACACCTCATAGTCAATGTTTCTCCTGGATGTTCTTTTTTTTTTTTTAAGATTTTATTTTATTTATTTGACAGAGAGAGAGAGACAGCTAGAGAGGGAACACAAGCAGGGGGAGTGGGAGAGGGAGAAGCAGGCTCCCGGCCGAGCAGAGAGCCCGATGCGGGGCTCGATCCCAGGACCTAGGATTATGACCCGAGCCGAAGGCAGACGCTCAACGACTGAGCCACCCAGGTGCCCCTTCTCCTGGATGTTCTTAATCAGAACAGAGAGGGGGTGAGAATCAGGTCAGAAGAGCTGGATGCACACAGTTTAGTGCAGATCCCAAGGGGTTCTGACCCTACTACCAGGTTATCACTTTGACATTCACAAAGCAATTTCACATTTATTATTTTACTTGATGGGGCCATCACTGAGAGGGTGCAGCTCTAGGGACCAAATTGCTTTTGCAAACCTAATGCTCCAGGAAAACTGAAATTTAGTGATTCCCTAAGAAGTAGAGTACTCTGTAATTCTGTGCATTTGCAGAACTCAAAAGGGTACACTTTAAAAAGATTCCATAATATTATTCCCTGAAAAATAAATATAAACCTCAAAAATAAGCATGTTCAATAAGGCATTTGAGCACAAAAAAAAATGAGCTGTAGTTCTAACTAAATTCAACTACCAGATTTCTAATCCTTTATACCTTGACTTTACTCACATAATTGAGAAATATAGCTTCTTAGGATAAAGAAAAGAATTGGTAACTCTAGAAAGGATACATTGACTGGGGGAGACATAGAGTTTGTGTTTATTAAACACTCGGGTGGAACCAAAAGCAGAAAGTGTGATTCAGGACACACAGAGCTTCGAAGAAGGGCTGTAAGCATGCTTGGGGCTCAGCCATACCTGTGAGTACTTCAGGACCTCTATGCCAGAATTCTCCAGCTCTTCAGTGCAGTTTGAACTGATAATTGAATCAAAATTTCTAAGTACCTATATACAAACAGAGGCACCAGAGGGATGGGTGGTGGGAAAGGAATAAAACTTGATTAAAGATAACGTTACAAACTTGGGAGCCAAATATCAGCATCCTCCCTATCTCCTCTTTCATTCATGGCCATATTGTAAGTGGAGTTTTAATCTATTTTCCTACATCACCCCCAATGTCTGTATTATGTCTGATTTCACCAACTCCTGTTTTAGAGTTAAATACAACCTTCAGGCTTCTACTCTCTTCGCCATGTCCCTCTCCTCCCAAGCTTGCTGCTTTTCTCCATAATTATGTCTTGGGTCCAGAAATTCTCCTTCCCCTTTCAGTATTTCCAAGGCAGGTTCCATTCTGGTATGATTCAAGGGAAGATCTTGCTAGCAAAATCTCCTTATCTATGCAAAAAAAGTCAAGACATGGCCTCGAAGAGTTCTTTGTGATAATCTGCATGCAACAAACCCCAGGCAGGGTGAAGATGGGAGGTCATGAGTTATTCATAGGAAAGTTCTAGAACGGACTTACACCACGACAGGAAAGAGGAGGAGAATTAGGGGGGTTGGCGAGGGCAGGAAACCCAAGGACATGTGCAAATGAGCTGATTTTCCAAATGTAGGAATTATCCATTCTGTTGATAAACTGCTGCAGTTTATTTACTTATTTACACATTAAATTAAGGCTATCTATCCCTCTGCCTCTCTCCTTCCTTCCAGTTTGCTGGATATATTCCTGTGATGCAAAATAACATAACATTAAACCTAGAGGAGACATTATTCAAAATATAAATTTCCTGCAGGTGAATTATATGACAAGTCTCAAAGCCAAAGAGAAAGTTCCCTCAAGTACATGTTGACTGGGGTTATCAATTTCCCTTGTCTCCCTCTATTTGCTCAAATAATCAAGAATTAGAATCACAGCATTTGAATGGTTAGGGATCTGATAAATCCTGTCCCTAAAGCATTAAATGACTTGTCCAAATCACACGCTTGTTAAGGTCAGCCAGATTCTTAGGCCAATACTCTTATTATTGCCCGGAACCATGTCTCTGAAAGCTCCGATACTGTACCAAAACCCAGGGGTACTATCATGACTAATCAAAACAACATATAAAGTAACACTTCAGGGGCGCCTGGGTGGCTCAGATGGTTAAGCCTCTGCCTTCGGCTCAGGTCATGATCCTGGAGTCCCGGGATCGAGTCCCGCATCGGGCTCCCTGCTTGGCGGGGAGTCTGCTTCTCCTCCCTCTGACCCTCCTCCCTCTCCTGCTCTCTGTCTCTCGTTCTCTCTCTCTCAAATAAATAAATAAAATCTTTAAAAAAAAAATAAATAAATAAAGTAACACTTCAACAGGTAATGACATGGAGGCTGCATGTGAGCAGAAAGAAACAGCTGACCCTTGAACACGTTTGAACTGCATGGGTCCACTTACACGCAGATTTTTTTTTTTTTCCAGTAGAATACAGTAAATGTGTTTTCTCTTCTGATTTTCTTTTTCTTTAAGTAAGCTCTACACCCAATGTGGGGCTTGAACTCATGACCCTGAGATCAAGAGTCGCATGGTCTACTCACTGAGCCAGCCAGGCACCCCTCTCTTATGTTTTTTTTGAGAGAGGGAGAGAGACTCTTCAACAGGCTCCACGCCTAGCATGAAGCCCGATGCAGGGCTTGATCTCACAACACTGAGATCATGACCTGAGCTGAAATCAAGAGTCAGACGCTTAACCAACAGAACCACCCAGGCGCCCCTCTTATGATTTTCTTAGTAACATTTTCTTTTCTCCAGCATACTTTATTTTAAGAATTTGATATATAACACATATATGAAATACATGTTCACTGTTTATGTTATTAATAAGGCTTCAGGCCAAGGTCAACAGTAGGCTATTAGTAGTTGCACTTGGATTTTCCACTGTACAGGGGGTCAGCACGCCTAACCCCCAAGTTTTCAAGGGTCAACTGTACTGTCCTGGGCTTTCTAAGACCTTAGCTGACTCTCAGTTATGATGCTAATTTGCAGTCACAAAACTTTGCTTGGCCTTAATTTCTTCATCTATAAAATGACATTCAATAAGATGATCTGTAAGCTTCCTTTATTATTATTATTGTTATTGTTTTTTGTGATAAAAAATACATAACATTAAATTTACCAACTTAACCATTTCTAAGGATACAGTTCCTTAGTGTTAGGTCTCTTCACATTGTTGTGCCATCCATCTCCAGAACTTTACTTCTTGCAAAACTGAAACTATACTCATTAAACTACTCCCCACTTCCTTCTGCTCTCAACCCCTGGCAACCACCATTCTACTTTCTATTTTTATGAATTTGACAACTCTAGATACCTCATATAAGGGGAATCATAAGATTTGTCTTTTTGTGACTGGTTTACTTCATTTGGCATAATGTCCTCAAAGTTCATCCATGTTGTAGCCTGGGTCAGAATGACCTTTCTTTTAAGGCTGAATAATATTCCATTGTACAGATATACACATGTTGTTTATTCATTCATCTGTCAACGGACACTTGGGTTGCTTCCATCCCTGGGCTCTTGTGAATAATGCTGCCATGAACATAGGTGTGCAAATATCTTTGATACGTTTTCTTTTAATGCAAACCATGTAGTAAATTTTTTTGACTGAGTGTTATTAATCCAACACTACCTTCTGATCATGTGAAATTGATTTCCAGAATAAGAAATTAACCTGACAGTCTGTTTAATTTAACAAATATTTATATGTAAGCCTGCCTGTTTCCTTTTAAGGCACTTGATACCTACCACTTCATGATGAAAATACCAGCCAGTCTGATCCAATCAAAATCATTATCCAGTGGCAGCTCTAAGGACATACGGCCCAATTCAAATAGCTTCTATGCAGTTCCACGCAGAATAAACCAACTGACCTCCACATGCTTTACACCGTAGTCTTTAACATTCTCAGGGTAGATTTTTTTAAAAGGTCAAGCAAAGGGAAGGGAAAAGGAAAAAAGGACAGAATTTACCTTATCATGCCGTATCATTAGTGATGTCTTTGAGCCCAGAGCGGAAAGAATCCCAGCTATCTCTACAGCAATGTAGCCCGCACCAACAATGACACTGCGGCTAAAATTAGAGATAGGGTTAATATTTTTAAATAAACTTTTTTGGGAATAATTTCAGATTTATGGAAAAGTTGAAAAGATTGTACAGAGGTGTCCTATATACACTCTGCCCAGTTTTTCTGCAAGTTAACATCTTGCCTAACCATGGTACACCCATCAAAACTAAGAAATGGACGTTGGTACATTGCTATTGACCATACTCCAGGCTTTATTCAGACTTCACCAGTTTTTCCATTCATTTCCTTTTTCTGCTCCAAGATTCAATCTTGGATACTGGATTGCAATTTTATTTTATTTTATTTTGTTTTATATTTTCTTAAAGATTTTTTTTTATTTATTTGACAGAGAGAGAGAGCACAAGTAGGGGGAGCCACAGAGGGAGAGGGAGAAGCAGACTCACCACTGAGCAGGGAGCCCGGTGTGGGACTCGATCCCAGGACCCTGGGATCATGACCAGAGCCAAATGCAGACGCCTAACCGACTGAGCCACCCAGGCGCCCCTCACATTGGAATTTTATCCCTTTGTAGAAGGGAAATATACTTTTAGTTATTAAAAGTTCTTCAGCCTCGGGGTGCCTGGGTGGTGCAGTTGGTTGAGCGTCCGACTCCTGGTTTCGGCTCAGGTCGTGATGTCAGGGTGGTGATCTGGGGGTCATGAGATCGAGCTCCACATTGGGGTCCATGCTCAGCACAGAGTCTGCTTAAAGCATTCTCTCTTCTTCACCTTCTGCCCCTCTCCCTCATACTCGTTCTCTCAAATAAACCTTAAAAAAGTTCTTTAGCCTCATTTCTCTAGAGAGGAAACAAAAAAACCTTTGAAACTAGAGATGACTTTTTAATTTTATTTATTTTTTTGAAGATTTTATTTATTTGACAGAGAGAGACAGCGAGAGAGAGAACACAAGCAAGGGGAGTAGGAGAGGGAGAAGCAGGCTTCCTGCGGAGTGGGGAGCCCAATGCAGGGCTCGATCCCAGGACCCTGGGATCATGACCTGAGCCGAAGGCAGACGCTTAACCGACTGAGCCACCCAGGCTGCCCCCAGAGAGGATTCCTTATGAGTGACCTTCATACCTAAAACGAAAACTGGCAACACACTCACCATGATTCTTCCCTGCTCAGAACTTCTCCTTGATCACTATTCAATTCTACCAGTCTTTGCAGTAGGTTATAGGCCAATTAAAGCAAGCCATTTAAGTCATAGGATAGATCTGAATTAAAAGTAGACTTCCTGCATAAGCTTCAGTCTAAGAAGGCATCTTCAACACTAGGTGAATGCTGACGAAGGTCTGAGTCAGTGGTGGAGAAGCTGATCCTGGCCCTAGAGAAATGAGGATTACTTCCATGCTGCAGCCTGGAGCATAAATGCCCCTTAGCTGGAGCTGCCCCGTTCAGGGCTGGGGTTCTCTAACGCTTCAAACACAGTCCTTTACCATTGCTACAGTGCTAGGATAAGAAGCAAGCAATCTGGAAAGAGCAAAGGAAACCTTTCTTAACCACCTTCCAAAGGTAAGGTATCCATGTGGTGAGTCTGCCATCAGAGGGGTCTGGTCTAGACAGAGGACGAAGTGTGAACCCAAATAGCTGCAAGTCAGCTATCTTACAATCCAGGATTTGGAAAGAGAAATGTCTACATAGTCTGGAAGATATGAAATAGCTCTTCCATCTCGGCCTCCCTCTTTCCTGTTATATTTGACCTCTTTTCCTTTCTTGAGGTCCTGAGATCGAGCCCTGCTCAGTGAGGCATCTGCTTCAGATTCTTTCTCCCTCTCCCTCCCCTTCTGTCCCTCCTCGCTCACACACGCTCACGCACTCTCTCTCTAAAATAAATAAAATCTTTTAAAAAAAGAAAAAAAATTGTTCATTCATTTCCTACGTTCCCAGAGTGTTTTGTCCTAACACACATAAATTCACTTATTAAACTTGTATTGCTAGCATTTTAAATATTTTAAAATAAATGATTTTACTTTTATACAGGTATCTATAAAGAAGCTTCTATGAGGGTGAGTCTAGAATTGACTTGTATCATCCAAACATGACAAGTAAGGACCACATTTCTGGAAACATTCTCACATGTGTCATCATTCAACCCTAAAACCAAACAGGACAGGGAGGATCATGAGGGAAGAAAAGCGCTTCTCTGACGTGGCTGCGTGCCCTGCAGACAGCAAATCTAAACAGACTGTGCTTCTCTCGAAGTCAGGAGGGTGCCTGCTCTGAATATCTTCATGGGAGGTTTCCACCGCAGCTATGAAACTCAAAGAAGCCCTCTTGCCCGTTTCACCGTCTGTGGCTCCAGGTGAATTAAGGTAAAGGTACGGACAATGGATTATTAGTCACCCTCTGTGAAGGTCTTTATAAAAACGCAGGATTAAGACCTCCAACGGGAGCAGCAGCGTTGAGCAATACTGATTCCAGAGCGAGTGCTACTCAGAGGGAGATAAAGACCAGTCCTGAGCCAAACGGCCCCTCCTCTAGCTCCTAGGTATCCTTGCCTATCAAGAGCAAAAGGAGGCTCCCTGCAACCTCGAAAGCCCGCAAGTGGCAGCTTCTTCAAATTGGAGAAACGATCTTCCTCGGTAGATTCTTTTTCTATATATCTAAATCCGTGACAGATGTTTACTAAGGTCCTTTGGACAAACACACGTAGAGGACAAATTCAGAAAAGCTCTCTTTTGTGAAAGTGCCAGAGCCTTCATTTATGGAGATTCTCTCTGCACTAGCTGCTTTGGAAACCAGAATCAGTTACTTGAGACACATCATCAGCTGATGCTGTATTAAGGTGAAGAAAGAAGATGGTTTTAGGACTTTACTATTTATTCTTCAAAACCACCATGTATTTGATTCTGGTCCTAAAAACTGTAATGAAAGATCTGAGTCAGGGGGCGTCTGGGTGGCTCAGTTGGTTAAGCATCCGGCTCTTGATTTCGGCTCAGGTTGTGATCTCCGGGTTGTGAGATCGAGCCCCGCATTGGCTTTGCGCTTAGCGGGGAGCCTGCTTCTCTCCCTCTGCCCCTCCCCGCTCTCTCTCTCTCAAATGAATACATAAATCTAGAAGAAAGAAAGAAAGAGAGAGAGGGAAAGAAAGAAAAGAAAAGAAAAGATCCATGTCGTTCCCTAGGATATTAGTGGATGAGATACCCAAGGTCATAAAAAGAGAAGCAGGTGAAGAAAATTCAAGGAATGCCTGCATTTAACGGCTGGGAGGGGGAGGTAGAAGAAATGTTAGCAGGAAAGACTGAGGAAGAATGAACACTGAGGTTGGGAAGGAAACCAGCTTACCCAGGCAATTCTTCCAGCTGGAAAAATCCATCACTGGTTATTCCTAGGCAGGCACCTGTGTAGGAAAATGCAATACAGATCACACAGACTGAGCTTTCTCTTGTAAAACGGTATCAATATTTTGTGTAGGACCCAGATGCTTTCTCTGCCATCACATACTGTTTTGACAAGTTTTGTCAAAGTCTCCACTTGGGAAGCTGCCAACCCAGTCTTCCCTGAGTGCACATTTCTGTTTTCTCTCTAGAAATAAAAGCAGTGACGACTACCTATTACATTTCTCCAAGGAACTAAGACCTTCTTGGCTCTTGTGAAGAGACCCTGCCGGCTCTGCTTCATTCTCCTGCCCCCTAATGTAGACATGAACCCCTCAGCTCAGCCTTGGCTCTCTTCTGTGTTTTTCTCCAAAGGTTTAAGCCAACTCTCCCCTCGTTGTGGAGGACTTCCAAATATTCCAGTTTTGACCTCCCCACCAAGTTCCAGTCCCAGATTTCTAACTGCCCTGCTATGTAATTTTACTTTGCTTCACACTCAGTATGTTTAGAATTGAACCTAAACTTTATGTCCCAACCGTATCCCTCTCTCAAGTTTGCCACTTCAGTTAAATGGACCACCTTCCACCAATAATCCAAATGAAATCCTGAGTTGTCAATCGAGGATTCCTTCTCTCAATGCCCCCCACAATATTTCATCAATTAATAAAAATATTGCACTTTGCCAAATTCGAGGTGCCATGATTAAAGGACACATCCAGGGATGCCTGGGTTGGACAGCTGGTTAAGCGTACGACTCTTGGTTTTGGCTGAGGTCATGGTCTCAGGGTCATGAGATGAAGCCCCACTTCGGGCTCCACCCTCAGTGCAGCGTCTGCTTGAGATTCTCTCTCTCCCTCTCACTTCCCCTCCTACTTGTGCTCTCTCTCTTTCTCCCTCTAAAATAAATAAATAAATCTTTAAAAAAAAAAAAAAAGGACACATCCTGATTCCAGATGTGATCAATATACTTTTTTTTTAAATGTGTCCTGGAATCCATGAAATCCAGCAGCTGAGTCTTCCTTCTGAGGCTGTTATGCCTGTTCTCCTTTCTAACGCCTGGGCCGTTGCAGTGGCTCAGTAACCGTCTGCAGAACTGAGCTTCTCCTTTATGGGTCAGATGCTGATGCTGGGGTTCAGAACCATATCATCACCTCCCATACATTCTACTGTGACAGCTTTCTATACTGATCTCCCTCCTCTGTGAGTCACTGTCGCATTAGTTTTCTAAAATTATCATTTAGATCTTGTCACAACCCTATTTATAAGCCAACAGTTATTTGACCCAGTTGTCGCGAACTCTAGAGATTCCTTCATTTGACTTTGTAAGTCTCCACAATTGGGCCTAACCGTCTTCTAGTCTCCGCTTAATGAATGTGCCCCCAGAACTTCAGTGCTGGAAAAACTGGTCGAATTGACTGAATGTCTTTCCAAGACATCTTTATTACCCACTGGTTCTTTCAGTCTTCCTCTTCCTCAGCACGTACCGCTCAATTTGTGAACCCTTTTCCTGGGAAGTCTTTTTGGTTGATGCCATCCCATAGTAATCTGTCCCACCTGTGAGCACCCCAAGCCTCACTATCTGGAAATAACCTTGGAACATTGACCTTTTATTTCTTTGCATTTGTTTTTGTTATATGTTTTAAATTAATAAATGTATAAATTTTAAAAATTTAAAAAGCACAACAGAGCATCTAGTGAAAAGCAGAAGTCTTCCCAGCCCTGACCTTTAGTCCTCTCCTTAGAGGGAGTCAGCATGACAGGGCTTTGAGTATCTTCCCAGAAATATTCCAGTGCATATGGACAGTCCCCCTGCCTTTTGAAAAAGATACAAATTGTAGCATACTATACACTCTGTTGCACACCTTGCTTTTTTTCACTTAACATTCAATCTTGGAGACTGTTTCATATTAGGATGCTTATGTCCAATCTTTCAACTAAATTTTAAGGTACCTGAGAACAGTATCTTACTATCTTTTACGGTAGTTGCTCTTGACCTTCTGGGGGTCATGAACCCCCTTTAAAAGCTGGTGAAAGTTTTGGATCCTCTCCCCAGAGAGAACAAAATACATAAATGCATATACACTCAAAATTTCCCATATAAATTGAGGTTGGTCATGGATCTTATGAGGCCAATCCAGGGAGAATACAAAATTTGTATAAGCTATGATCACCGCCCAAAAAGACCTTATAATCTAGTTGAGGAGAAAGATTTGAACCATGTTTCTTATGTAAGAATAAGGCAGTATGTTCATGGCTTATCCCTGTGTGCATAAAATGCAAGAGCGAATAGGACTATCTGAGATTCCTTACTGCTTTAAATTTATAATTCTCTGTGTGAGAGAGAAAACTATGCATACGAAGAAGGTTTAATAGGTCATTAAGTCACATCCACACAAGATTTCACTTCCTTGAACCAAACAGTAACTACAGAACATGTCTTATAAATAACAACCCGTGTGACAAATCCAGGCAGGTGACCATCTCTGTCATGCTGAGAAGGAAAGGAGGAGATTCTTTGCTGATTTTTCTCCCTGTGTTACCTGTAGAATGTATGAGCTTGGAGCTGGAAAAAATACCTTTCTTTGCCCCATCACTAGGTACCAGTTAAGCCAATTACATTTAGGCTCTGCAGAGACTTTCTCCTATGGCCATGTGGCCTTGTCCAAGAGAAAGAACTGGAACAGGCAGATCCCCTAGCACGGCTTGCAAGGCTGAAGACAACAGTAAACTCCACTTGACTATTAACAACAGGTATTCGCCTTGAGAAGACTCACCGGGAATCTGGCTCTCCTGAGGACGTGAGGGCACACCACCTGTGGCAATCAGGATGTGAGGAGCAGTGTATTTGTTCCCATTGACCTCTACTGTGGGCTCGGGATCACACGTGAACGCTGCGTGGCCATGGATGATTTCTATATGGGACTGGAGAAGGGACCGTGACATTAGCCTGTGCTCAAGATACTTTTTCTTGTATCTTCTTCACCAGTGGCAATGTATCAGCTCTTTCCATTTCTCCACAGAGGCTATCTGGATTCGAGGTTTGCTGATGCCAAGACAACTCTGTAACGTCTGAGTTTTGGCAAAACATCTGTTGACACTCAGGTAAGGGGATTGCCATTTGGTGGGCCGTAAGAAGAAATAAAGACGCTATCTTGAGCCAAAATCCAGAGACCAAAAAAATATGTGCCAGTCACCTCCACAGGGAGAAACCCTACATCCCTGTCCCCAGGAGTTTAGGGAGAAAGTCCTCCTCACTTGCAATGAAATCACACTGAAGAATGGTGTGTCTGCAGGAGGGACACAAAGCTCAGAAAGAAAAAAGGATAATGGTGAAGGAAGTAGAGGTGAAAGAGGAACACTCTGGCCAAGGGAGGAAAATGCAATGCTTCTGTTTTCGCAAACAGAATGGAAGGATACCACAAATACCACGACAATGAAGTTCTGCGCTAGAGATGTTGAGAATTCAGACTCTGGCACCCTCCGTGCCGGGGCCTCCCTTTCGGGGAATGAGAGCAAGCGTCTGAAGCCATGATACATGTTATCGGCAAGCAAATGTGGGCAACTTACCAGGACAACGGAATCATAGGAGCTTGATCACAAAAGAGCGTATTTCAACCTTTCGGAACATGTTCGGTTCTGATTTAAGTTATTTCCTCCTTCCCAAACAGCTCTCCAGGCCTGCTCTACAGATGACCTGCTTAACCAAGCTGAATCAAGATCAGTGCCAGAAGCCACAAGAAAAACCTCCCTCAGGAGAGAATGGTTTTCCACAGGGTGCTAGACAAAGAGGCGTATGGGTCAACTGCCAATAATAATCATGTGGGGGAGGAACCGATATAATTTTTATTTGCATTTCCTAAGATACTTGACAGAAAGTTTCCCTTCCTATTCACAATTTCTGGATCAACTGTAAGTAATTTCTTTCCCATAAGGTCACACACAGTAAGTTCGACTACACGCCGAGATTTGTGAATATTTAAAAAAAAAAATGCTGTTCCCTGAGTGATTTTCTAGCTCTTCCGCAAAAGTATTTTCGCTCACTCCATTTTTTAAAAAAAACTGATGTGGGTGTTTTAGTATAGCACGTGGTGCCTCTATGCTCATGTCTAACGGTCTTAAAATCTCTTGTCAGCAGTGTAGAGGGGACAAAAGGCCCCCAAACACTTCCCTCTTGAATTGGGGATTAAGGTCAGAAAATATCACCTTCCAAAAAAATAAACCCAATGAATAAGAATCAATATAAAAATATAAGAGGTTAGCCATTTATAGAAGTAACTCAGCCCTAAAAGTTGGCTTATAAACATGCTGCCGATGAGATTATGCTGGCCCAAATATCACCAACAATCTACTGATCTAAATACAATCTAAGCCCTGCGGAAATCTTAGAAACTGCAAAGTGAAACCACAAAGGCAAATGAAGGGTGGTGGGATGTATGCTGTCAAGAGAAGGACAGATGGGGACGCCTGGGTGGCTCAGTCGGTTAAGTATCTGCCTTTGGCTCAGGTCATGATCCCAGGGTCCTGGGATTGAGCTGCCAGACAGGCTCCCTGCTCAGTGGGGAGTCTGCTTCTCCCTCTGCCCCTCCCCCTGCTCACTCTCTCTCTGAGAGAAAAAAAGAAAAGAAAAAGGACCGATGGATGGTACACCATTTGTCAATGTCTCCAGCAGCCCCGAGTGGAAGGAGTACAACATTTAAGCACCAAGGCAGAAAAAGCCTCAGATTAGCAAAGGACAATATATATTTGCTGAAGGTAAACATGCCTTTGCCCAATGTTCTTGATCAGACTTCATTCACAAAAAACAACCTTCTGAACCATAATTTGCTCTCTTGAGTACATCTAGCCACCAAGGACAAGGTTGCTGTGAGCAAATGAACAATGGCAGCTCTCTAGCCAGGCAGTACCTCCGATGTGAATTAATAAGCTGGAGCACTGTTGTGTAAATCAGTCTCTTATGTTTTGGATTTCTGGAACTAAGTGGAGGGCCGGACCTACTCAAGGGGCGGCCATTATGAGAGACTTGGTCTACCAATCACAGCATGTGCTGCCCACTCTGTAGAAAAAAAGACTGGCCTCCTGAGTCAGGGACTCGCTCTGGCAGGTCTACCTCAAAATCATTACCTGCAAAAGAAATAAAAGAAACAACAAGAGATACGTGCAAAGGCTATGTTTTTGTCTGGCCAGATGGGTAGCACAGTCCAGCAGAGAATAGCTCCCTCTCCAAGCTCCAAACCCAGCACACTCACCTTGGTTAGATTATTTTGATAGATGGTATTCAGGCGGCTCACATAGGCATCACGCTTTTCCTTTATGACACTGTAATGAAACTTGAGTCAGTACTGAGAAACAAGATTCTCTTCTTTCAGTTAGTGACTGGGGCATCTGTCCCTGAACACCCCTATCAGCAGCGAATCACGCACATGGAGAGCCGTCAACAAGATCCCTATGAGTGAGTATCTCTGAAGGCAGCTGTCCCTTCCCCTGTGTCCACCTGCTCTGCCATATGTGGAGAGCCCTCATTCTACTCCAGGGAGGACGTTCAGGTGGAATCCACGGTACGTAACTTTCTTTCTGCCGAAAAGACAGGAAGAGCTGCTTTGGCAAGTGCCTAGTACTTAGCAGCCATTCAGTAAATAGTTGTTGAATAAATGAATGAATTTCCGAAAATCTGAGGGCTCCTAAAAGCTTATGGCAGTCCCTTAAAAAATTAAACATAAAAGTGCCATTTGAGGGGGCAGGGTAGGGGGAAAAAAAAGGAAAATTAAAAAAACAATAATAAATAAAATTGCCATTTGACCCAGCAATTTCACTTCTAGGTATAGACCCAAAAGAACTGAAAGCAGGGAGGGGAGGGGGGTGGGAGGATGGGTTGGCCTGGTGGTGGGTATTGAGGAGGGCACGTTCTGCATGGAGCACTGGGTGTTGTGCACGAACAATGAATCATGGAACACTTCATCTAGAACTAATGATGTAATGTATGGGGATTAACATAAGATTAAAAAATAAATTAATTAATTAAAAAAAAAAAAAGAACTGAAAGCAGGGACTTGTAGATCAATGTTCGCAGCAGCATTATTCACAGCAGACAAAAGGTAGAAACAACCTAGAAGTCCACTGAAGGTTGAATGGATCAACAAAATGTGGTATGAACACAAGGGAATATTTTTTAGCCTTAAAAAGGAATGAAATTCTGACACGCCACGACATGGATGAATTCTGAAAACATTATGCTAAGTGAAACAAGCCAGACTTAAAAGGACAAATACCATATGAAGTACCTAAAATAGGCAAATTCGTAGAGACAGAAAGTAGGATAGTGATACCAGGGGCTGGCAGGGAGGGAAGATGAGTTCTTGTCTAATGAGCCCTTGTTTCTGTTCTGGATGGTAGAAAAGTTCTCGAAATGAATGGTGGTAACAGTTGCTCAGCACTATGAATATACTTAATGGCCCTGTATTGACAACTTAAAAATACCTACAATGGACTTTGTGTGTCTTTGAAAGCCATTTTATTGAGGTAAGACCGACATACAAAAAACTGTACCTATTTACATATTTACTGTATACAACCTGATGAGTTTAGAGAGAAGCATACACCTTACAACCAGCATCACAATCAAGGCCACAGATACATCCATCACCTCCAAAACTTTATGTTATATGTATTTTACCACAGTAACACCCTCCCAAAAAAGTTTGCAGCTCATTTAATTATGAAAGAAAAATATTTATATTTGTAAATAGAACCCTCTGAGCATTAACGCTTACCGCCAATTGAATTTACTCTCACAACTTTGAAAGCCGTAATCAACGTGATCGTGCATGAATTCAGAGTGGACAGCTGTGTTCCACATTACCTGTAAAAAAAAAAAAAAAAAAGGTAGCCACAATAGTATATGAGTCCTGAGGAAAGAAAGAAATCATGCATGAAAGGGAACTACATAATAGCAGATAAAAATAATGAACTTTAAAATAAAAATAAAAATAAACATCCTAAAAGTTCAGCAATATGACCAGACAGATGTTGTAAGGAAGCTGCTGAAATGTTGCAGGAAATTATTTCTATTAAATTCCCTACTTTATAAACTCTATAGAAGCAGGATGTTATACGCCTCCCAGTCCTTCCGGTAAAATTTATTGTTGCTTACCATCCTTGTTTTAAGTTTCAGATTTGTTGAAGCCCTGTCTTCTGTGATTAGTTCTAGGAAATGGAACTGCATCTGTAGTTTACAATAAAGTGATTTAGAAGAAGCTATGAGATCAAGTTGAGGACTGAAAACCTTAAGAGAATGAATCCCTCTTATAACGTCGGTGCCTATGAACATGTCCTTGTTAAGGACGTGTGTAATTAGACATCTGGAACTCAGAGGTTTGTTGCATCTCTGTGGAATGCAGCCTAAAATCCATAAAGGCCTTTTATGCCAACTGATTATCATGATGACTAAATTCAAGTTGGCATCCAGAACTCTAGATGACAAACTATCATTTTTCTTTGTCAGACAAGCCTGAGACTCCATTTTTGACAAGTCTTAAGATTCCTTCTTTGTACCGTTCTCCCTTTATGCCTAAAGATGAGTAACTGATGACCCTGCTGGATTCTGCTTTTTTTAAATTGAGGTAAAATTCTTATAATACAGAATTAACCATTTTATCTGCTAGATTGTTTATCTTAAATAATACATATGAAAGGTCTGTCAATACTACAAAATAAAATAGGTTATTTTAAGAAACACCACTATAGGGGCGCCTGGGTGGCTCAGATGGTTAAGCGTCTGCCTTCAGCTCAGGTCATGATCCCAGGGTCCTGGGATCGAGCCCCACATTGGGCTTCTGGCTCAGCGAGGAGCCTGCTTCTCCCTCTGCCTCTGCCTCTCTCCCTGCTCATGCTTTCTCTCTCTCTCTGTATCTCTGTGTCTCAAATGAATAAATAAAATCTTTAAAAAAAAAAAAAAAGAAACACCACTATACATCTTCCCATCATCAGGTACTGTATTTATTTACTTCCGATTCGTATTATATATGATGCTATAGCATCAGACACCCTCTGGAGAAGCTCTATATGAACTACATTGGACTTCCAGGCTCATCCTAACTTGGGTAGTAGCAGGCCCATCCATCTGATTCCTTCTCTACTGCTGCCCCACTACCCTTCCGGAGGAGTTACTCCAGGCTTCAGGCTGTTCTAGAAAACAAGAGGCAATTACCAACTGGTCTTCAAGAATGCAAAAGCACTTTGAAGTCAGTAGAGCCCTATGAAAATATAAGGTAAATGTCCTGCACATGTGATCAGAATAGAAGAAATAAATGAAACATAATATATGGGAACAAAATATTACAAATTCAGGCTACTAGGCCCAGATAATATTTTTAAATAATGAGGTAGCACCAGTCAACGGATTTACTACCATAACTGGCTTAAACTACATAAAACTACCTTATAACTGATTTACGTAATTCATGTATCATAACTGCATGACTCCAATTAGAAGAGTCCAAAATCTAAGACCAAAAGGAAAGAAAATAATTGAGGAAAAGTGTCCCACAGTAAAAAAGAAACCTTCCTGTGATAAACAAACAAACAAAACCCCCCCAAAAAACAAAACCCAAACCCCACGTACTTATACCAAGGAACAGATTATAAAAAACCCTTCTGGCATTATACTCAGGTATGTGTCACTGAAGAGATTAGGCATATTTGCTTACCTGTTACCAAAAAAATGCCAGTTTAGAAGGTAATCTCAGTAACAAAAGGTTTTAAGTTTAGGAGTATAATATGCTTTGAAAGCACATTCCAATGTGGAGTAAAATGATTTGCCGGTATAAACCAAGAGGCAGCTTTGGAAATAAGAGCAGCCATTTCTTCGTCTTTCGTCACAGGTGAAGGACAAGTTCATTCAGTGTGCCCGATACCACAGACACTAGGAACGAAAACCACCACAGTTGTTAAGAGAATCCATGAGGCTACAGAATTAAATGGGAATACTTAAGAAGATTCCATTCAGGGGGCACCTGGGTTGCTCAGTCATTGGGCGTCTGCCTTCGGCTCAGGTCATGATCCCAGGGTCCTGGGATCGAGCCCCGCATGGGGCTCCCTGCCCTGTGGGAAGCCTGCTTCTCCCTCTCCCACTCCCCCTGTTTGTGTTCCTGCTCTTGCTATCTCTCTCTCTGTCAAATAAATAAATAAAATCTTAAAAAAAAAAAAAAGATTCCATTCAGTTATTTAGATTGAGCAAAAGCAATCCTGTGCAGATGGCCCAGTCCTAATTACTGGACCTAGATATAATCTCACTCATGCACTCTAAGTTAATAAATCAATGCATTCGTTAATCAAATATGTAAAAGGAGTGTGGAAGGAAGAAGAAATAAAAATTCTACCTTTTTGGGTACACATCCAACATTCACCTGGGGGGGGAAAAGGACAGATTTTAAGAATATTAAACTCAAATCATCCCACAAACCTGCAAGAAATGAACCCCAAGCATCAACCCAGGAGACTTCCTTAAGTTCTACGTCACCTTCTACAGTTACTACCTTTTTTCTATTATGGAGTTGTTAAAGATAGGTTCTTTTTCTTATACGATGAGGCAGAGAATTTTATTCGTCAGCATTTTCTCAAGAAAAACAGTCACTGAGAAAGAGACAGAAAATAATTCGATATCCACAGGGCTACGCAGTGCAGGGGTGGTAGAGGTCAGGAGGTGGCCCAAGCCTGAACTTGCACAGAACCCAAAAGTCTGAAGCAGAAGACAGCAGCAGGAGGGAAGAGGACCCACCCACTGAATAAGGGCAGTTGAAGCATCTGAGCAGCTGCTCCAGAGGATTTCTGAGAAACTTATTATGCCATACGCTGGGTAAAACCCTCAAAATGCCCCTTTGAAAAATTCTCTGGCAGAAATCTACATTACTTTTCAGGACCAAAGGAAAATGAAGAATCAAGCAGTAAGGTTCATCCATGCTATTCTCTATGTGTACATATATATGTATGAGTGCATATATATGTACATACACATACATGCTTATATATATCCATGCTTATATACTTGCTAGAGACAGACCACAAATTTGATTCTTAGCCTTCTAGCCGCCAAAACACAAAGGAAAACACAAACGGTTGTAAGATGTCACATAAAAACCGACCAGCTGTGGGGCGCCTGGGTGGCTCAGTTGGTTAAGCGACTGCCTTCGGCTCAGGTCATGATCCTGGAGTCCCGGGATCGAGTCCCGCATCGGGCTCC